GTTGTGCTTTGTATCCTGTAGAAGTGTCTTGGCAAAAATGTAAGTTTTTCTTCTCAAGTGATTATGAAAGAATAACACAAGAAATGTTGATCCTTGGAATTGATACAGGATATGAAAATCATAAGATCAAAGATCAGATATTCAGGAGGTAAAACAAATCAACTTGATCGAAGTTTTTATCAATAATCCCTTGATCGATAAGGTTATCAATTAATATCGAGGGAATCAGACTTAGAAGAAGAGAATATTTATTGAAGTCATTATGGATTAACTATTTATGGAACAAGTGATTGATAAATGATGAAATATAGTCAATAGTAAGATATACATGATAACCAGTTAAAAATCTTGTGAACTTGAGACACATGCTTTCTCAGTTCTTATAAGAATATAAGATAACCAAAGAAGGTGAGAAAAGCTTAAAGATAATATGAAAATATATGTTTTGAAGGTCATCGTGAAGAACAGTCTAAAGAAAAGTGTTTGTAATTTATCAAACAGATGTTCGATAAACACTTAATCAAACAAATTATCGATAAAATAAGTAACTGTGTAAAAATACTTTGAACTCGTTAATATGAAAAGTTATCGATAAAATGTTGATCAAACAAGTTATTGCAAAAGCTATTCTAAAGGACTTAGACTGATAGAGACAGAAAACATGATATTAATTGATTAAGTGATCAATAATTTAACTATCGATCAAGTGATCGATTATTGACCAAAGACATTTGAACTGAGTAAAACAGAGAGGGATATGTTTGAATAACTAATTGATCAATCAAAGAGGTTTTGTAAAGCAATGTTGGGATAAGTTATCGATAAGTGTTTGATAGAAGAGGTGATTGATAAACTATAAAGCATTCCAAACAATATGTGACTTGAAGGGACTTACCAGTTATCTGTCATGTGATCAAAGACCCTTTAATCGATAAGGTGATCAATTAACCCTTTGTTAATAGTGAGGAAGATTATCCTCTTTACTTGATAGCTTATCAATCATTTGAATTATAGATCAAGTGATCAATAATTTTCTAAAAGTACTTATGTTAAACAGTTTTACCAAATATCGAATAGGTGATCGAACAACCTATTTATCTAACAGGTTATCTATCACAGTGATTATCTAATACGTGATCGATAAAGCTTAACTATATTTGTACTCACAATATTCAGTCAGTTATCAAACATTTGATTAATCAAACCAATGATCTAACAGATGATCCAATAATTAATGATCCAACAGATGATCGAATAAAAGTTTAACAGTTATGCAGAGAAACTTACCATTTATCTAATGGCTTATCGAAAACCTTGTTTATCAATCAAGTGATCGATAAATACTTAATAATAGCGCTATTCAAAGAAGTTTGGCCATTTATCCAATACGTAATCGATAAATGCATTTATCCATAACGTTATCAAAAAACGCATTTATCTAACAGGTTATTGATAAAACTTTAATAGTAACTAAATTCAAAGAAACTTAGTAAAGATATGCAGAGAAGTTTAACTATTTATTTTGTCATCATCAAAACCTATTGAGTGATTTGGTACTTGCTTGAATAGTTGATATATACAAATATCAGTTTCTGGTGATTTCATTTCTATGAGCATATTCTATCGGCTGATTTTATTCTGCACTTTGAGTTCATTATGCACCTTCCATTTTGTCATCATCAAAAAAAGGGAGAATGTCAGATTTAAGGATAAAAAGAAACATTAATTATTTACCAACAAATATTTTACTACTTCTGTTCTATTTATAAGTTATTTTCAATATGTTTCACATAGATAAAAAGAAACATTAATTATTAACTCTTGTTTAAAATTGAAGTCAACTTTATGAATTTTATTAATGCTTATTTTAACTTTATTCATATTTAATTTATTAATTTTATTAACTTTTATTTCAACTTTATCCCTATTTAATATACATTAAGTCAACATAATGATAAATAAATGGTAAAATTATACATTAATATGAAAGATTTCTTTCCTTATCCTAATAGGATCAAAACTTGTTTTTTTTTTTACCTTATAAATAGAATCAGAAGGGCATGTGCTTGGAATACAAAGTTGTTGTGCGTATTTGATATTATCGATTTGAAAAATTTTATTCAGCCTACTTAAGGTAACTGTTTCCGATGTGATTTTTCATCTATAGCATCTTCCCTTGCATTATTATCTCAGTCAGCAACTTTCATGCACAATTTATGATAAAAGAAAATGCAACTTTTTTTAGCCACGACTCCTCTCGTAGTTCTTTAATTCTTTTTTGGATGTATGTTTTCAATTCAATTATTATTTAAAGGGTTAATACAAATTTTAATCCCTTAAGTTTGCCTTTATTTTAATTTTGGTTTCTTAAATTTCAAATCATAGGTTTTGATTTTTTAAGTTTCTTTTTATTTATAATATTAATCCCTATAATCCAATAAAAGATTAGACTATTTTGTCCCTTGAGGGACCAAAACCTATGATTTAAAATTTAGGAGACCAAACTAAAATGAGGACAAATTTGAGGATCAAAGTTTGCATTAAGCCTCATTTAAAACATGTTATTATTCTTTATAATAAGATGTTTACAATATTACACTTAAATTTTAATTTTATTACATATATGGCTTTTTAATGAAATCATTAATAGAAAATTTAAAGCCACTTCTGATAGTAGGACCCACAATATTTTTAATGAAAGTATCAAGATATTCAAGTTTAAAAAAACAAAAAACACAATCTTTTTCCAACCTCCAGACAATCTTCTCGGTTCATCTTTTTTTAAGAAAAAAGCCCACCCTCTTATAAGAATATAATTTTTTCTAAATTTAATTACAATGTTTTGAAATTGAATTAAAAATCTAAAAATATCGAATGAATACTAATCAAAGTACTAAAATGTAAATATTTATTTTGTTGACTTTATTTAAAAATTCTCTGAAATTAAAAAACTTCTGGATAAGTAATAACGGTGTCAAAATATAATACATGATAGGTTACAAAAATATCTAATTATTATATATAATATTTATGCTATTAAAATATTTTCAGTCATAATAATTAATATAATAACTATAAAAATTGGCAGATTTTTATAAAAGGAAAAAAAAAAGGAAAATTGATTGGTTAAAAAAAATTAATAAAAGAACATTAATAACTTTTTTAATTATAAAGAGTGGGGATGTAAAATTTTATTATAATTAATAATCTCTAACACACTCTAATGAAATACCCTTTTAACATTGGGGTATTTTGGTATTTTCTTTAAAAATTATATGGTGTTTGGTGAAATTTTGGTATAAGTTCATAGATATTTTTTTTCTTTAACTTTTTTTTTTAATTTTAATTGAGGGTATTTTCTTACTTTCATTAAAAATATCATGGGTTCTACTACAAAAGCAACTGATGTTATCTCATTTAAACGACGCTAGCATTTTTGTTTTATTTTTAAATTTGGATTGGTAGATTTGAACCCACAGAAAGTTCATAGTTCTGAATGAACTTTTGATATAACTTTATGAGTATTTTTGAATTTTAACCCTAAAAAATATAAGTCTTTTTCTCTCAATTTAACTTAGTTTGAAATATAAGTCCAATATGATCATATCTAGAGCATTTCATACTTTTTATCTTATGTACAATTAATTATACAAATATATTGTAATTAATAATCTCTAACTCACTTTAATGTAATAGCCCTTAAGGATTGGGGGTATTTTAATATTTTCATTAAAAATTATATGATATTTGATAAAATTTTGGTATAAGTTTATAGGTATTTTTTACCCTTAATTTTTTTATATTTCAATTGTGAGTATTTTGGTATTTTTATTAAAAATTATTGTAGGTCTCACTATAAAAGTAATTGATGTTATCTCATTTAAATGATGCTGACATTTTTGGGTTATTTTTAAATTTGGACCAATAGATTTGAGCCTATAGAAAATTTATAGTGCTGGGTAAACTTTTGGTATACCTTGATAAGTATTTTTGACCTTTAACTCAATTTTTTATTCTAGAAGTATGCCCATTAAGCACACACATTTTTTCAGTAATGCAAATGATTAAAAATGTATAGCTAATGAAAAACAACTCTTACATTTAGTCAACTTAATTAATTTTTAAATTCATATAAATTACTTATATAACTCATACATTAATAAATTAAAGAGACATATGCGGCAATTTTTGCGGGAAAAAAATAAGAGTTGATGTATAAATTTGCTGTGAAAGTTTTCATTCAGGAGTGATGGGTCCTAAAAATTTCTTTGGATTCAATATTATCACAAAAGTTTAAAATTACAATTAATGTTACAATTTTAACCATCAATGTTAGATTTTTTGACAATAGAGGACAAAATTGTTATAATTTTAAATTTTTAAGATAATTTTAAACTCATAAAAAAAACCTCAAAGTCCAATGCTATTGAGTAAAAGCTTCTTGAAAAAATTTATATCTTAACCCAAAAATTAATAACAACAGACAAAAAGCAAAACAAAGGAGAGTATCAGTTAGATTCCAAAACGAATTAATTATAGTTAGATCTCACAAATTTTTTCTTCTGAAAAATCAGTTGCATGTATCAATTTAATCATAAATTTAGGAGTCCTAATTTAGATAACAAGACATTTAAGTTTCAAGCGCAATTATCAATGTTTGCATTGGGATTATTGATTGCAGCTATATGGCATCTTGTTTTCAAAAAATAAAAAAATAAAAAATTCAAGAAACTTTTTCTTTCATCAATTAAGTCCTCTGGACTTAAATGTCATTACAAAAAAATATAATTTTGATATCAAGCAGAAAATTTTAATTTCTTTAATTCCTTAATTAAAATTAGAATTTTCAAAATATCATTATCGTCCAGTGTCTATTTTTAAGTGTCGTTTTCTCAATTTTTTATTCTCTCTTTGACCAAGACGCGCTTTCGAGTCTACAGAGAGAGAGGATGCGAATAAAGAGTTGGTTACAAAATTGTACAAAAGAGGGAATTGGTTTTCCTTCCTTGTTATCCATTGCGCTCCGGATGGCTCAGCCTTACTCAGATTCAGACCAAACGCTTCCTAGTGAGAGAGAAAGAGAGCAGAAGAAGATGATGGAAGGAGGCGGGATGACTAATGAGTACACTCAAGACGGAACTGTGGATCTCAAAGGAAAACCTGTCCTTAGATGCAAACGAGGTCGCTGGAAAGCTTGCTCCTTCGTCGTTGGTAAACTTCTATCTCTCTCTGTACGCTTTTGTCCTCTCAACTCATAAGCTGGAAGTAGTATTGTTTCAGGACTGCCTAGCTACTAAACAATGTGACTTTCGATAATATTTTTACTGCATGTATAGGCTTCATTTCTGCTTCTTCTTCTTCCCTTTTTTTTTTTTGGTTCAAATACTATTATCCATTAGTTTGGATTGGTGACACCCAAACCATGGTTTGGAGATTAAGTCACCCAAACACCCACCCAAAAATCAAAACCATGGTTTTGGGTCAAAACCATAGTTTTGACTCCAAAACCATGGTTTTGAAAAAAGTAAAAATTTTTTGCTTTTGGAGAAAAAAGAGAGAGTGTGAGAGCCTATAAGATATGTATCTTGTTATTTTTTTTATAAACATATTTAATATTATATTTTATAAATATATATACATATTAATTATTTATTAATTATATTATCTTATGTATTATTAATTATGTTGGTAAAAAATATATTATTAACAATTTTATTCCTTCAAATTAAAATATATCATAAAATATATTTTTTCTGTAATTATCATATTAACTTATGTCTTTTTTTTAGTAATTTGTATATATAAAAAGTGCTTCTGATAATAACTATCTAAACACTCTCACTTCTCAGAATCATTTTTTTACAAAATCTATTCTTCACAGAATCTATTCTCCCCAGAATCTATTTTCCAGAATCACTTTTCCAAACCATAGTTTAGTTTCATCCAAACACACCTGACTACCCCTCCTAGTATAGATATTTCCTCTGGAACATGAACTTAACCAAAAGACTCTAACGGGACCTTACACCACACAAACTGCGTTGGTTATGTAGAGTTTTTTTTTTTTTTTTGGTATTTTGTTTTAAGTGCAGGTGTCTGTATAGGCTCCATTTCTGTCAACTACTTTGCGATTTTATTGTTTAAGCTCTGTTAATCAATGTTAATTTCTTCTTCTCTTTTTGTTTTTTGTTTTGAAACCTTTGGTGAGCATTCATTAAATAACTACTACCTTTCTTAATATGTTAATTTAAGTAAACTAAAAAAATTATATTAGTTATTTGTAATAAATAGATGTTATCTTTTTCAAACTATTCTTACTTGTTAGTTAAAACTGTCACTGTTATGAGAATTATTTTTAAAAAACATAAATAAATATAAAAATTAAAATAAATTAAAATTTTATATTTAAAATTAAAATAAAAACTAAATAAGTCTTTATATTAAGAAATCTAAGTAGTGGTTCTTTTTAAGTTTTGTCGAAAATTCGCTGTCATGGAAACACTTCGCAAGCCAGATCTCTGCTACTTGCTCCTCTGTCACAATAGGTTTTCGTGTTTGTTTGTCTTGTAGTGAATTTCATCTTTATTAGTGCTTTCTATTTTTAACTATTTTATTTTCTTCAAAATCACATTTCTCATTTTTTTAAAAAAATAAAAAAGCTAATATAATTATTAGTCCATTAAATTTATTTTTATTTTAATTTTAATCTCTAAAAAAGTAAAATAGTCTAGATTTTTTCTAAATTATAAAGATTAATATTTTAAATAAAAAGAATTTGAGTGACTAAAACTTATAATTTGAATCGTGAGAAATTAAAATTAAAATGAGAACAAAATTAAAAGATTACAAATTATATTAATCCAAAATAAAACCTAAACTGATCCGTTTACTACCCCGGACTTGCTTGACTTGATGATACTCCAGAGTCTAGACTATATTACTCTCTCTTTCCCCCCCTTTTTCAGGTCGAGGTCTGTCTTATTATTATTCCTCTGGTTTTTAATATAAGACTCAATTCTTGAGTTGGTTTTGATCCTAAATATAAGATCAATTTCTTATATTTATCAATTTTATCTAAATTATCCCTATAGATACTCTCTCAACCATAATCAAGTAGAAGAAGGGGAGGAAATATTAAGAAAGATGATTATGGTGTTTAAGAAAAAATATGTCACTTTTCTTATAATTAACTAACTTACCTAACTCCCTTAATCTAATCAAATTAGTTAAATGAATCTTATAATAAGGTCGGAAGAGTATTATAAAATTAAGTTCTTGTTTGATTCCCCCCCCTAAATTTCTTTTTTAAGATCCCTATGTAGTTGCGAATCTCCAAAAAAAAAAAATAGATTCATTCGAATTGTAAGTGGTTTTTAAATTTTGTGGGTTGTTCAGGAAAAAAAAAAACTATGGGTTAATAGAACCTTTAGCACTTAAAATTTCATCTTATTTTGATTTAGGTCTGTAAAATTTGAAATAAGTGATTTTGATCTTTAAAATTTGATTTTTTTTTTAATTTTTGATCTTTATTTTAGGGGCTAAAGGCACTAGCAAAAATTTTAAGACAAACCCAAATGAAGTTAAATTCAATAGGTCAAAATTGCTAATTTCAGATTTTGAGTATCAAAACTATTAGTTTCAAATTTCAAAAATTAAAATCAAAATGATGTTAAACTTTAGGAACTAAAGATATTCACCCAAAAACTAAATATAAATATGACTAATTTTAGAGAGCACCTGTGCTTGAAGGCTTGATAAATACTCCTCCGGTCCTAATTATAAGACCTAATTGGCTTATTTGAGGAGATTAAGGAAGTAAGTTAAGTTGGTTATTTATAATAAATAAGTGTTGTCATTCCTAAAATATCCTTGCTAATTAAGTATATTGGCTAAAACTATCATTATTAGAAGGATTATCTTGGAAAAAAATGCATAAATATAAGAGACAAAATGGATTGGGTCTTATAGTTAGGACCAAATAAAAAGTCAAATTGGGTCTTATAATAAGGACCGGAGGAGTATAAATTTTTGGGTATGATCCCCTTGGTTTCACCGAGTATGTATGCGTCTGCATGAGCCAACCAAGGAGTGGAACAAAGGGTTAGGTTCAATGGGCCACTTTGCCCACCCGTTATAATTATTTAATTATAATAAGTATGTAAAATGGTTAGTATGTAACATATTTAAAAGTTTGGGATTTAATTTGATTATGTGGCTTTATAAAAATATAGAAATAACTTCGTTACGGTTTATAAAATCATGTAATTTAATTTTAAAATTAAAATAAAAGATTTGAAAATTTCTATTTTTTTAATGAGAAAATGGCGGGTTAGTCCGGCAACCATACCTGATTGGAAAATTTTCATTCCACTTTATACGGGGGCTGATTAGTCCCCCTGCTTTTTTTTTTTTTTAATTCTTCGCCGGACCTCCATGGTTTTGCATATCACATCCTATTCTCAACATAAAATCTAACTTAACTTTTAATTTAATTCTAAATATAAAATTTTAATTTATTTTATCTTTTATATTTAGGATTGGATGCATCAAAAAATAATTTAAAGTGCCGAATGTACTGAAAAAAAAAAAATTTGATGCACCTTAGTCCATAATTAATTTTATACATTGCACTAATGAAAATGTTGGTAACCTGACATACTGCATTATCTTTCATACTTTCTCTCTCTTACTTGTTCCTTATATATTTGGTCATACTTAAAGAAGAAGTTCATTTCCTAAATATTTAATTATTTTAAATTAATTTTAACTATTTTTTAGACTCTGTAATTCAGTTTGGTTATTAGGCTTCTATAAAAAAAGACAAGAGGAAAGTACTTTTTAAATTTTTAATTTTAAAATATTTTTCTTGTACAGTGTACGAGGTATTTGAAAGAATGGCATATTATGGGATTTCATCCAATCTGATAGTGTATTTGACAACCAAGCTCCACCAAGGCACCGTAGCTTCATCCAACAATGTTACTAATTGGGTCGGCACCATCTGGATCACGCCTATTCTTGGCGCGTACGTTGCAGACGCTCATCTGGGCCGTTATTGGACTTTTCTCATTGCCTCCATGATCTACCTCTCCGTATGTCTTTCTCCTCGTATTTGAAAATATGCCTGTGTGTGTGTGTGAAACAAACTAAGTATTACAACTAAATCATATCATAAACAGCATGGTTGGAAAAAAAAAGAAAAGAAAATCATAAACAGTATCTTTTACACTTATTAGAATGCCTAAAGTATATTTTTGATCTTTTAACTTTACATAAGGTTTCAATTTGATCCTTTAACTTTAAAAAGTAAACTTTTAGTCTTCTAATCCTAATACTGTTAACAAAAAACGATAATACTGAGCTCTTGAATGTTGACAAAGTATTACTAAATGCTAACATATTAAGTTTAACATTCAAAACAACCATAATTGTTACAAAAAGTCATCATTTAAAACTAACAATTTTGGGGTTAAATGACTAAAAGTATATTTTTTAAAATTAAGGGACCAAATTAAAACCTTATATAAAGTTAAAGGACCAAATAGATACTTTAGCCTATTAGAAAATACACTTCTGGAAATATCTTTTAAAGATTTGATTATATAATTTTTGAATCATATTATTCATAGTTGAGATATAAATTGTACTACCTTCAATCAAATATAATATATAGTTTGTAGTTATTAGATCTTATATTTAAAATTGAAGGTAGTAATTAAGACTTTATAATTTTTTTTAAAAATTATTAATTTTCTTTTAAAATATTTTAAATATTTATATATTTTTATATAAATATTTTGATCTTGAAATGTCACCTATAATGATATTTTTCATATTATGTGGAAGTCAATTTGAATATTTAGCACAGCATTTCAAATTTATAGATATATAGCATCACTTTCATATTTCGCAAGATCACATGTTGCTGCGCGGTAGCTTTGACTCCAAATTTGTCTTAAATAAGAAGAAACGAAGAAGCAACTTGTATAAATATGGTTTTTAAATACACAAGTCCACACAACAAGTAGCAATAGGCACTGGGTAGACCAATAATTCACCGACTGCATATGCATAAAGTCTGCAAGTTTGAAAACTGAGAAATAAGTAATGATTGTAGTGCGGCATTGAATATATAGCTCGAAGATAAATACTCCGCCTTGGAGAAATTTTTCCGGGGATGACTTTCTTTTTAAGTTCTTTTATCTAAAGGATTCACTAGTATGATGCCCAAAAAATAAACTAGCAATAGCGCGTATAAAATTTTTAGTATAATTTTTTGATTTTTGTTTTCATTAATCATTGATTAGTTTTAGTGCATTAATTATCTTAATATGTTCATTCTCTTTTTCTCACACTCTCAGGGTGTTTTTGAAAAATACTCCTTTTGATTCATAATATAAAAAGTCCAAAATATAAGAGGTTAAGCGAGTAGTTAATGATAATTTTATACTTTTATCCTTTGTTATAAGGGGGGAGAAAGCTTTAAATACAGGAGAGAGATAAAAGAATTTTTCAGTCATATTTTTCAATGGGAATAGGATGGGTAACTTATATCAATTTAAAACACATTTAATAATTTAACTAATATTTTTTTATTTGTGAAAAAATTTGACGGACATTTTATATTTTAAATCGGAGGGAGTAAGTTATACTGTTTCTTTTTACATGCATATTTATTGCTTTTACCCAATTTAACATACTTTTTTTCATTTATGTAATTTAATTATTTGTATCTTATAAGAAAGAATCCAAGCGAGTGTGTAACTTTACCCATTCTTGTTCATTGCTTGAAACCAATGTTTGTTCGGTTCATATTTAACTTTTATTAGAAAAAACTGAAAGAGGAAAAAAATGTATGCAGTTTTCAATTGAAAAATACAGGGTTTGGGAAAAACCGGAAAAAGGAAGAAACATCTTTTGTTTTGTTTTGTTGGTGCAATGATATAATTAAAATTATTACAGGTAAATAAATTTAATTGTGTGTGTGAGTATATATTTCACTGAGCAAAAGTATATAAACTATAAACAAGGTAACTTTTCTTAGAAGTCGTGCAAAAGGCATGACTACTGCTTGCTTAATTAAGCTTATAAAATTTTTTTGTATTAAAATTTTGGCAGGGAATGTGTTTGTTGACAATATCAGTTTCATTACCTTCACTAAAGCCACCAAAATGTACAGAAAAGGATTTAACAAGCTGCCAAAAAGCCTCCCCATTACAACTTGCTGTGTTCTATGGGGCCTTATACACTCTGGCAATAGGAACTGGGGGGACCAAGCCGAACATCTCCACCATTGGAGCAGACCAGTTTGATGATTTTGATCCAAAAGAGAAGTCCTCGAAGCTCTCATTCTTCAACTGGTGGATGTTTAGTATCTTCTTTGGAACTCTCTTTGCAAACACTGTCTTAGTTTACATTCAAGACAATGTTGGGTGGACTTTAGGGTATGCCCTTCCAGCTGTAGGGCTTGCAATCTCCATTTGCATCTTCTTGACTGGCACACCATTTTATAGGCATAAATTGCCCACTGGGAGTCCCTTCACAAGAATGGCTAGGGTTATAGTGGCTGCTCTCAGGAAATGGAGGGTCTCTCTTCCAACGGATCCTAAAGAACTTTATGAGCTTGATTTGCAAGAGTATACTAAGAAAGGAAAGTTTAGAATTGACTACACTCCCTCACTCAGGTACTTTTTTTTTTGGCCTTTTGGCCTCTCAATCATGATTTTATACTACTAGCATGTTGGTTTTTGTTCTATGGTTCTTTTTTTGTATATTTTAATTAAATTATATTTTAATCATAACTGGATTAACTTTGTTTTAACTCTGGTTTATTCTTTTAAGTTTAAATGATAAAATAATGACATACAGTTAGTTTGAAGGGAACCTGATTGTTATTCAGTTGATTTAAACTATTTAGGAGCTTCATTAAAATAATAAAACCAAATTCCATGTATCATTCACAAAAGCTAGCTCTCTTTCTGGATTCACTTTTGTTTTTAACGAGCAAATGAAAATTTGTTTTTCTTGACTCATATTTTAATTTAAGTAATAATTTTTGACCAGCAATTTAATTAATAATTACTCCTCCAGTCCTTAATATAAGACCCATTTCACTAATTTGATTAGATTAAGAAAGTTGGGTAAGTTAGTTAATTATAAAAAATGTGACGCATTTTTCCTAAAATACCATAATTATCTTTCTTAATACCCTTCTTTCTTTTCTACTTGGTTGTGGTTTAGGGAGTATCTATAGGGGTAATTTAGAGAAAAATGATAAATATGAGAAATGGATCTTATATTTAGGACCAAAACCAACTCAACAATTGGGTCCTATATTAAGGACCGGAGGAGTATCATTATACTTTTCAATAGTTTTTCATGTATGTGAGTTAAATTTACTTTATTATCTATATTTTTATTTACTTATTGCGTGGCATCGATTATAGATTTTGACACTGTCAAGATAATAGGGAATTATATTTGTCGATAAAATTTAATAGAATATTGACATAATCATATCATTAGGGACTACATTAAAAAAATTATAGGACATTAATTACGATTCAGTTATAATGGCCAAATCAAAAATTGAATGTAAGCATAACAGTGCAAAGCGTTATTTTCATGTAAAGAGATCATACAAAATAATAGCTAAAGCATACTCGGTGCTTTAACTTTATACGATCTTTTAGTTTGCTTTCTTAACTTTAAAAGTATCTTTTTATATAGCCCTTTAACTTTAAAATTATTAGTTTTAAATAATGATTTTTTTATAACAATCATGATTGTTTTGAAAATTAAACTTGATATGTTAGCATTTAAAAATATTTTAGCAACATTCAATATCTCATTGTTATCATTTTTCCTTAATGGTTTTAAGGTTAAGAGACCAAAAATAAATTTTTTAAAATTAAGATACCAAATTGAAACATTGTATAAAGTTAAAAGACTAAAAATATACTTTAGTTTAAAACAATTAACAGTTAGATTTCACTTTAAGTTTTAGAGAATAATTTCATAAAGGAACAACATTAAATCATTGACAAAATGGGTGGGTTTTTCTTGTTTTCGAAATAGAAAAATTCAATTAATGATTTTAATAAACTTAGAAGGCCAGAAAATATGATTTTGCGAAATTTTAATTTAAAATGATTGAAGGTGGAAATGATAACAATTTATAGCCACTTGATCAAAGAGGATTAAAAAAAATTATATTATAGTCAACCACGGTTGGCTTGGTTGATAAAGAGTTGGCTTATAACTTATCAGTTTCTAAGCTTTTATCCTATTACTGATGTGATGATCTTATTGTTGGGTAATCTATAAGTACTTATGTAGATGTTTTTGAAGCCTAAATGCATGTTTTGATCTTGATGAGTTCCTGAGATTTTCATATATCATAAAAACACCTTTTTTATTGGCTAAATATATTAAAAAGCTCTTGAATTGAAAGCTTGAAACGCTAGGTGAAGATGTAACCCACTAAATGCAATAGAAGTGACACATTTTCATATAACTAGTAAATTAACCATAATCATATTATCTTCTTTTTTTTTGGTAATAGTAATCCATTTTGGGAGGCTATATTGGCCTTTCACTGCTTTAGTTCAAGCCCGATTGAACCATGTAGATGTAAAGTTCTCTCAACAATAATTTTCTCTATATGTAAAACTCAAATTCAATATTTTACTTATATGAGAATAAGTATAAGATCACTTAAACCAATTGCTACCGGTCATGTTTATTTGATTTACACACATCATTTTAATAAATTTTGGTTATAATCTCTATAAATACAATACCTTGCAGGTTTTTGAACAAGGCATGTGTGAAAAGAGGTTCAGGAACTAGTCCATGGATGCTATGCACAGTCACCCAAGTGGAAGAAACAAAGCAAATGCTAAGAATGATACCAGTCTTGATTTGCACATTTGTTCCAAGCACCATGCAAGCTCAAACCAATACGTTATTTGTTAAGCAAGGGACTACTCTTGATAGACACATTGGTAGCTTCAATATCCCTCCTGCAAGCTTAGGAGCATTCATCACGTTATCCATGTTAATCTCAGTTGTTCTCTATGACCGTTACTTTGTGAAGATCATGAAGAAGATAACCAAAAACCCTAGGGGCATTTCACTTCTTCAGAGAATGGGAATTGGGTTAACAATCCACATTATGATTATGATCACAGCAAGTTTCACTGAGAGATATAGACTTAGTATGGCAAGAAAATATGGGGTTGTTAAGAATGGAGCTCAAGTTTCTTTGAGCATATTTATTTTGCTTCCTCAGTTTATTCTTATGGGAATTGCTGATGCATTGTTGGAAGTTGCAAAGATTGAGTTCTTCTATGATCAGGCCCCAGAAAACATGAAGAGTCTTGGGACTTCATATTCTATGACTACTTTAGGTGCTGGGAACTTTCTTAGTACTATTTTGCTATCAACTATTTCAAAAATCACCAGCAATAGTCATAATCATCACTATGGATGGATCTTGAACAACCTCAATGCTTCTCATCTTGATTACTATTACGCATTTTTTGCAGTACTGAATCTATTAAACTTCTTCTTGTTCATTGTTGTGACCAAGTTTTATGTGTATAAAGCTGAAGTATCAAATTCTATCCAAATGCTCACTCAAGAACTGAAGGGGGAACAGTGAGTCCAAGGGATTAGTTAGTTGGTTTAATTTGATTGAAAATAATGATATAGTTCTTGGGATCATGGTGAATGATTGAGTGTTTAATTCTAGTATGCCCTTGTTAAATGGTGACTTACATGAGAATGTATGAAGGAGGAAAAAAAGAATTATCAAACAAAGTTAGAAGTTTTTCTCTTCAATTATCACACACAATTACCATCTTTTGTTAAATCCACTACATTTTGATGATAATAAAATTTGGTAAGCATCTTTTGTAGGCAATAGAGTAATTATGATCAATTACAGGAATTAAGTGGAAAATCATTAGGAAATGGAAGAATAAGAAAAAGGTAGAGATACTTGAAGACGAATTACCCTATACTAATATAGGAAATGTTTTTAACATTAGTTACAAGGGACTTTCAACATTGATTTAATGGAGTAATCAAGTGACCTAGTCTTATGAACATTTAATGTTGATTAAAAGGTGAACGTAGAAGGATACTTTCTACCTTAATTGACTAATTCTTTGGTTGATGAAGTTATGTTATGTGTGAGGAAAAATTCAATAAAACGAAGATTGCCCTATAAGTAGTTCTACTCAGATGCTACTGAATAATTTTTAGTCAAAGGTTTGCCTAATCAGCAATTTAACTATCAAAGTTAAACTTCTGCTAGGGTGGATGTGATTTCCCCATAAAAATTAGTTTACGGTTGAAATTGCACCATAAAAAACTTTAAGACTTTAGACGTACTTGAAAAAGTACTTTAGAGAGCTAGACGCATCTTAACACTTACTTTGATGCAATGAAAATACTTATTTTTGAATTTTTAGGGGTAAAACAGAGTCTTGAAAATGCAATGATAATGGACTCTCTTGAGGTAGTCATTAGGGGCAACGCATTGGTCAATTTATTATGGAATTAGAGATGTAGTTAGGATTAGTTGAACATGATTATTTCATTAAGTGAGTTCAAATTAGTGGAATGGCAACACACTAATATGTGGACCACTTTACACTAACAAAAATCAAGCAACTCAATGCACCTTAATGTTCTTACCCAATATTGAGCTATGACCAAATTTAGGACTTCTAGTAAATCTTAGTCCTTTAGCATGGTTGTTTGAAGACTTTGTAGATTGTAGGGTTCTATGGTTCTTGAAATCTCAATGGTATCAGTTTGCATCTAGTTGTTTTTTTTACTTTGGTAATCATGTTTTCTTGAACTTATTGAACATGTTCGTTATTGTTGGTTGTTTCTTCAAGCCTAATAATGATGTTGGACTAAAGGAGACATATGTTCAAAGGCATGGCATTCTCTTTCAATATGAAAGTTTTAAACTGTTAGGTATGGCACCTTTCACTATTCCTTTTTTATTAAACTAATTTTTGGCATGTACTATTAGTTGCCTTGTGAAGGTCCAACATCAAGGTACATTTGTTTTTACAGAGCTGTGGTGACGTGAAAATAAGAAGGATTTGTTCTTGCATGGAGTAATATTTTTTGGCCCTTGTTTGGTTATTTGTTATTTTACTTATGTTCTTTTCATATTCATAAGTTAACTAATATTGTCACCTTTTATATGTGTTTGTTGTTTAGGCTGCTTGGTTGATCTTGATGTGTAAAATTGTCTTGCCCTTTATATTTTGTGTTTGTTTGTTTATGAATTTTTGTATATTTTATTTTTAATTCATAGTTGATCATTTTATAACAAAATGCTTTAACCAATAAAATCACAGGGCTAAACTTAATGTGCAATTCAATATTAATGAATTGTAGCTTGATTGTTATATGTTAAGTTGGGGTGTTTGTAATATCTGGGTTTTCAATCAAGGATTTAGGAGTAATTAAGCTTGATTGTAATATAATCTTGAGATGTTAATGGTTGTTTGAGGTAGATAAGGAAAAGGGGTAATCTAAAGGTTGTGAGACTATTTTGTGGCCCTCTGTGTTTTTTGCTACGGCAGAAGGAGAAGTTTGTGGCTTCCCTAGAACAATATTCATGGCGAATATCACAGAAGGGAGAGCTTCTGTGAAGTTTGCCATGGTGAAGGGTTGTGCTTACCGCGGTTAAGGGTTATATTCACTGTGACGAATACACGTAAAATTCAAATTATTGGCACCTCTATGTTTTTCACCATAGTAAAAGGTAAGGTTTGCTATGGCAAACTCACAAAAATGCTAATAAAAACCAGTGTCAAACGTACGAGAACAAAAAGATTAAGGAGGAGAAGCAAATAATCTCTGCTAGGGTTTATAGTTTTCCGCTTTGGTAAAGTAAGTAGTATGTTGTTATTACTAAATGTTTGTATCAGTGCTTGTGCCTTGTGCGGTTATAGAGGTGAATGTTTTGGAGTATTCTCTCTATTATGTTATTGATTGTATTCCTAGTCCGCAATGTTATATCTATGCATTAGGTTCATATGTGGAGGTTAGTATTCTATATGGAGGATAATTATTCTTGGAACCCATACGACATGCTAACACTATGATAAGGTGTTTGGCTTCTTATTAGGCCCTTATAGTTCTACCTTTTCTCCGGCCTGGAATAGGGATAGAACTCTTAGATAGACACCTCTTTGGCCCTGGTTGGACTACAGGGTAAGAAGGGGACCTATTGAATCGATATGAGTGAGGTGACCTTTGGCTGGTTACTCCACACAGATGGTTCAGGTCCATGTCAAGGAGTCATAAGGAGGAGTATGGTGAATGGGAGGGTATAAACTATTGTGTTTATTTCATATGTGTTTGCATATTTTTAACTTAAGATATTTTATGTATGGTATTACTTCCCTTGCTTACCATTTTGTTGGTATATATTGTAAAGTGAGTTTTGGTCACTGGGACTTTACATCTCACCTTGTTAATCTCACTGTTTTCAAGGGAGCCTTTTGATATTGTCTATTATGAAGGGAAGCAGTAAGAGGCTTAGGTACGCACAGCCTAGTGGACCTCTCATCACTTGAGTTTGTAAAGACTATATAATTTGCCATGCTAGGCTTCATGTTTTGTATCTGCATATGTAACTGTCTCTTTCATACTTTTGGATTATTGTATTTTGGAGAACATTTACTTAATGGCCAGAGGCTATAGGTTTTGTTATGCATGAGCTTTATGGATCCATGTTTGTCACCATTTGGGGGGGGGAAACTCCTATCTTATTAACGATTGTTATGATTTTGAGACTATAAGAGTTAAGCATGTGTGATTGTGCGCTGGACTTAGCCCTTATTTTTCTTGCGCCCTAAGTCTTTGTGTGATGGATTTTTAGGATGGCTCTATAGGCTGCTATTGTGCCCTAGGCCCTACTTGTTATTGTTGTTGGTTTGGAGGACTTTCATTTATACTGGACTCTTTATAACTCTGGTAGCTTTTGATAATCTAGTCAAATTTTTTTACGTACTATGGCTAACTTAAACTATTATGAAATCATGGTTTTAAGAAAACATCCTTTTAACTTAGTATTAGTTTCAAGGTTTATGATCTCTGGTGTATTGCATATAGTATTCATGGCAACATACAATCATTATACTTAAATTTCTCTTTTATCTTATTTCCTTTCTTTCTTATTAAGTGCTTATCTGTTCTTTTGTGGGTTCTACCCTCAAGTAGGGAAAGATGGTCACACTAGACATACTGTTGAAGCTGGCGATGGAAGTCACATACCACTTAATGGCGCTGGTCGACCTAACTCAATTAGTGATGGGATTCTAAGCTAGTTACAAGCAGTAATCCTTTCCATTAACGAGCGAGTAAGGAAGATGGAAGAGGACAGGAGGAACAGGGAAGATGAGATTTCTCATAGAATAGGGGATCAGCTAGATGGGGATAGTGTTAAGCATATTAGGAGCTAGTCTAACCACCTTGAGATGAGGGATGAAGAGGATCTTAAGGACATACCCCCACCACTAACCAACCCCATTATTAATGATCGAAAGCATTTGGGGCTTTATAACCCTTCGACATTTAATGGTAGCCTGAATCCTAGAGATACTGAGGCATGGATGGACTATTTATAGACACTATTTAGCAGTTTGAATGTTGAGACACGAAAGAGAGTGCAAGCTACTAAGATGTTGCTGGAGGAAAGGGTAAAATAGTGGTGGGATAGCATGAGGCCTATAGATGACAGAAGGATGGTATGGGATGAATTCAAGGGGCTGTTCTTTGAGTATTACTTCATGATAGAGGTGAGACAACAAAAAAGGTTGAGTTTTATGCCCTTCAGCAGGGAGACAAGCAAAAACATTATCCAAGAATGTGACTTACTTGGATCATTACCGAAATACTTAGTAGATTGTTGTTTAGCTAATGGAAAAGGCTAGACTAGAGATTAAGCAATAGTTAGCCACGGTGGAGGTTACTACCTTTGAGAAGATATGTACTCATATCTGTCAAGTTACATGAAGGATAAGGAAAGTTGATGAGTATCGTAGACGAGACAGTCTTGTGTGCTTTAGTAGCCAATCAAGACCCTTGGGCTTAAGAGGGCATTACAACAGCTTCATGACACCTACTGGTAGACTGGGAAAGAGGAGTAGCCTGTGAGGTTCTAGCAGTTCTGTTAACAAGAAGCAATCCTATCAAGGGATTTTCCAACAGAAGAATTTTTCTTATGGTGCCTAGGCTTAGTGGAGCCAATGGGGAGGAAGTTAAGCCCCTAAGCATGGTTCTATAGCATCTACTTGTAGTGTGACTAACTAACCTATTTATCCCAAATGTGGGAGGAGACACCCTAGAGAGTATTGGATTTGTTTTAACTATGGAGAGCAGGAACATTTGGCTAATCATTGTAACAAGGCCAAGAGGGACAACCAGATCCCCAAACCATCAGTAATAGGGCATGTGTTCACCATGACTTCTAAGGAGACAGGTGCTTCACCTAACTTGATTCAAGGCAGTGTTCTCTTACAAAATCACCTTTTGTGTGCTATTAAAGGATTTTGGGCATACCTGAAGTGTCGAATAATCTCATATTCAGATAGCCACACGTGGAAGACAAATCACAATAACGGAGTCGGTCTGCAGTTTCACAGCAAATGCACCAGAGGGAGTTTTTGGAACACAGAACAGAGAATGAAGGAGGGAGTTTGAAGAACAAAAAACAGGGTTCACCCTACTGATCCCTTTTCAGTTGTACGGTTTATTAACTCCACAATTTTGAAATA